CCTTTCTCCGGTTGATGTGGGACCCTTCCAAATCAACCCTCCTTTCGTGGCCCATCGTTCTTGCTGACACATCGCCTCATGTCCACCCCTTGGGACTCAGCCTCTTTACTCGCACATCGCCCGATATTTGGCCCCTCATTCCACCTCCCTTCGGAGCTCAGCCTCCTCGCTGGCATATGGCTCGGTGTTTGGCTCCTCATGTCCATCTCCCTTCGGGATTCAGCCTCCTCGCTGACACATCACCCAGTGTCTGGTTCTGATACCATTTATAACAGCTCAAACCCACCACTCTCTTTGGACTTTCCTAAGGGTTTTTGAAACACGTATGCTAGAGACAGGTTTCCGTGTTTAGTTATCCTACTCAACCGATATGCTATCTCACAAAAAGTACCTATCTTATAATTTAATTAATTCTAAAATTAACCTCAAGTTTTCCTATAAAAAGCCAACAAGTTTCAGCTTCCAAACAGGCAGCTCAAACCCAAAAGCCACAATGTTTGTCAAGTACTTCCTATTGCTTCTCCTGGCAGTGGTGCTTCTTACCACCACTCAAGCTCTGAAACATCCCTCCGACTCTGCCCATGAAGTGATTCCGGTCAGCAACCAAAAGCTTCCGAGCACCACCGCCACCGACACCGAGCCTGCGTCAGAGCATGAGGAATCCAAGTTCTACAGGAAGCGACTCTACAAAAAGTACCCACCCTACAAGAGGTACCCACCATACAAGAAACGCCCCCCATACAAGAAGTACCCACCATCCTCCAACTAAACGCCACCCACAAAATTATGACTATGAAATAAGCGCCGCTGCAGTCGGCGGCGCCCAAGTTTCCCAAGTTTAGGGTAAGTTTACGAGGTTTAAGTTGTGTAGTATGTTAATTTGAACTTGGCATGTGCCATATGTTGTGTTACGTCTCCATGCTCCTCCACTTCTCTCGTCTATCATTCAATAAAAAGTTATATTATGTCTCTTTCTTTCGTTTTATGGAACTTCACGCTTTTTTCGTCACAAGAATAACTAGCTTGCTTCTATTCTTTCTCCACAACAGCTGGACCTGCTTCCCTGTCGTGGTCGTTTTCCTCGAGATTAATTCAACCCTTGCAATCGATGGACGAATAGTTCAACTATAATCAAATATTACGATAAGAACTTTACATGTTCATTCAAAAATTTTGATTTCATAAATATGCCTTTCAAACTCTATAAATGCACCGACAATATTTTATCAGTTCATGATGACATTTTTTACGTATGATGAAAAAGACTTCATATATTTTGGGATGATTTACCGGGTTCGTGAAACATTCATCACTTTCTTAAATCAACTTGAATGGGTCTTAAGAATAGAAGATGTGAATCTAGTACTAAACTTGAGAAGTGTCATTTTAGGGTAGGTGTTGATAGTTATTTATAGCTTATAGTTATACATGGTAGATATACATATAATAGATAAGATATATAGTAAATAATCATATATATTAAATAACAGTATAATAGAACTATACGGTAGATAGTTATATATAGTAGATGATTATATCTGGTAAAATGATATATAATAAACTGAATCATACATATATTCCTTAGTCAGTTATTTGAAGATGTACTTTCTGTATTCTTATTACTGTACATACTTGAAGTTATCAATATAGACTGATTGCATTTTCTCCCTTTTTTTTTGTATTCATCTATATTGAGTGTGCAAGTTGTTGTACTAAGAAAGGAAATCAAATAGATAAAACAAAGTTTAAGTTATGAATCTAACCCACCAACAAAATAATATATATTTTTTAAAATTGACAATAAATTTGAGTAGGTTCGATACAACCCAATCTAATTTTAGGAGAATCGATGCACCAATCTAATGTATAAAATTTCCATTTATTGAAACTCAATTTGAACTAAATAATTCGTAACTAAACCTAAATCGTACAAATTAGATTGGGTTGATCGTTATCGAATTTTTCAGGTCATAAATTTGTCGAACACCCCTTAATATCCGAACAAAACTTTAAAGAAAATAAATTGAAATAAGTTGGGAATAATTTTCATTGTTCCCATTGTATTATAATTTTCAGCCATTCATTGCTTTAGTCATGCATGACGTTACCATAAGCAACCTCACATACTATCAAAAATATAATCACCCCATCACTTAATATTTTCCACTTCTCTTTGAAAATTGGAGAAGGAAAAAACTAGAAAATTCATCACCAAAAATCATACCTTCACTTTGAACGATTATTGAGTTTTTTTTTTTTTTTTTAAGCACATATTTCTTAAAAATTCAACCGCATGTAACGTGACGAATGTTTAGTACAACTGGTGTTAATTGACCTAATGAAATGTTGACATGGTGTTAATATATGCTAACTAGAGTTTAAAGTTGTGTTTAAGATTTAGATCGAAATTTAAAATTCAGCTTCAGCACCTACTAATCCTATCGTTTTTCTACATCCCCGGTGCAATATAGTCAAGTTACTTACTTCTAGTTTCTAAAAGTGAAAACTATTCCCAAAGACCAACATAGGTTCTTTTAGTATGATTTGTCTTCACTTATATTATGAGATCTCACCTCAGTTGGATAGGAGAATGAAACATTTCTTATAAGATTGTGGAAGTCTCTCCCTAGGAGACACATTTTCAAACCGTGAGACTGACAACAATACGTAACAGGTCAAAATGGACAATATCTACTAGTAGTGGGCTTGGGCTGTTACAAATGGTATGAGAGTCAAACACGGGTCGATGTGCCAACACCAGAACCCCAAAGGGGCAAATTGTGAGATCCCACGTCGGTTAAAGAGAGGAACGAAATATTCCTTATAATTATGTGGAAACCTCTCTCTAGTAGACCGTTTTAAAATCGTGAAGCTGACGGCGATACGTAATGGACCAAAGCAGACAATATCTACTAGCGGTGAGGTTGAGTTGTTACATGCATGCTTTATATGAAAATTCCTACGAGGTTACTCGACATAGAATTGTGTCAAACAAAGCACACTGAAACTTTTTCGCACGTATTCTTTTCATACTGAGACTAAGTAGAACCAAATTCCACATCATTCAACTTCAAATATTGAACTAAACTTAGGAACCGAATAGAAATTAAGTTTAAACGTGTAGGATGAAAAGAAGAACATAAATGACCTAAATCTACTGAGTTTGTTGGTCGAATTGAGACCTCATTTATGCATTGTTTGTTTTAATGTCAACTCCATTATCCAGTACCCATTCCTTTGATCTGCCGACAAAGGGAAGCTCCGTAGGCCATCCAGAAGGCTGACTACGTACAAGCAGTCGATGAATTCCAGTACTGTTGACTCTTACTTTAGTCCCATCTTTCCAGATTCTAAACAATATATTTGGATGCGGTGTGCATCAATAATTCAGCTCTCCAATAATACTCAAATTATTGTATATCCAACCACAGACAGCCGAAACATTGATGTAATTGGCCATTTCCCAATCTAATTGTGTTCTTTGGTTACTATCATCAACGTACAAAGATTCCACTCCCTTCCCTTTCAAGTCTCTACTTCTTCTTTCTCTTTGTATGCTTATTAAAAGATTGTATCGTACTTGTCACCAACTCCAACGATGATACATGTATTGAGTATATATTTTCAAATGAGAAACTATATCGAGTATATTTCCAATAAGTTCTTTCGAGTTTTTTTTTCCCCTCTTTTTTAATGGCTTCTCTCTCCCTTATGAGGATTAGAAGTTGCAGTTGACTATAAAAAAAAAGGTAAATATTTTAATGGGTGAGCAATGGTAAGTATAATCAATACAATCGTTTGCTCTAACAGCTATAAGAAATAATAAATAGAATATTGCCAAATACCTCTTGATGACCCACATTTTTTAATTTTATGATAATGAGTGTTATTTATTAGATTATTTTCATATTGAAACTCAACGTCCAAAATTATCAGTTTCAATTTGGCCCTGTGAAATTCCACGTCGGTTGGAGAGGAGAATGAAACATTCATTATAAGGGTATGGAGACCTCTCCCTAGTAGATGAGTTTTAAAATGATTAGGTTGGCGGTGTTACATAACAAGCTAAAACGGACAATATTTACTGTCGGTGAGCTTGGACTGTTAGAAATGATATCAAAGCCAGACACTGGGCGGTGTACCAACAAGGACACCGGCCCCCAAGGAAGGTGGATTGTGAGATTCTACATCGGTTGGAGATAGAAACGAAGCATTCATCATAAGAGTATGAAAACTTCTCCCTAATAGACGTGTTTTAAAACTGTGAAACTGACGACAATACATAACCGACCAAAACGAATAATATCTGCTAATGATGAGCTTAAGCTATTACAGACCTAAATATATTTATTTGAGTAAGTAAGAAGTTACTTATAAAGATTGAAACATAAGCAAGTGAAAAAGAAACCCACAAGTTTGAAATTTGAATTCATTTGGCTCAAATTTCAAGATTTTCTACTTTTCTTTGTCCTCCCTACTTTTAAATTTTAGTCCCATACTTCACTGCCGACAAAACTGTACTTTATTTAATTACTGTTTATGTTTCTTACTCTTTTCACTTAATAATTGAACCTTTAAATTTTATAATATTTTAATTTTATATCTAAGTTTTTAAGCTATTTATAATCTTAATTAAATCAAATAAAAAGCAACTATTAATCTAAAATTCACATATATTCATTAAGATAATGGTTTCCCTTAGAATCCCTAACATAATTAAGAACTTAGTTTTTAATAATAATTATTTTATTTGTAGGAAAAAGAAAAGTATTGTAATAATTATAAACAAACAAATCCACTTTAAAGATGAAAATGTAATTTTAAGTAAAGCAAAAGCAAAAGCAATTATTAACTGATTGGGGAAAAAAATTATTGATATATATATACTTTAAACAAAAGGTGTTAGTTAGTGTTAAAAAAGTTATAAAAAATAATAATACAAAATAACATTTTGAATAATTTACCTCATATTTGTGTCTTTAAATACGTGTCATTTCCTTCGAGTTGGTAATCACAAACCCACAAAAATGACTTCCTCCTACCTGTTAGCTCTCCTTCTTGGCCTGCTCGCGGTGGTTCTCACCAAACCGGCCGTTGGAGATAACGCCGGTGAGACTCAACCTCCAAACCCACCATCAATTCCAATTTACGAACCCCCCAAGCTTCCCCTAGTTCCCATATACAAACCTCCCGGTCCATTTGACAAACCACCTAAGCCTCCGGTAGTAACAATTCACAAACCACCAAAGCCTTCACTCCACAAACCACCAAAGCCTCCGGTCGGTCCAATACACAAACCACCTAAGCCTCCAGTCGGTCCAGTTGACAAATCACCAAAGCCTCCGGTCGATCCAATTCACAAACCACCCAAGCCTCCGGTCGGTCCAATTGACAAACCTCCCAAGCCTCCAGTTGGTCCAATTGATAAACCACCAAAGCCTCCAGTCGGTCCAATTCACAAACCACCCAAGCCTCCGGTCGGTTCAATTGACAAACCTCCCAAGCCTCCAGTCGGTCCAATTCACAAACCTCCCAAGCCTCCAGTTGGTCCAATTGATAAACCACCCAAGCCTCCCGTCGGTCCAATTGACAAACCTCCCAAGCCTCCAGTTGGTCCAATTGATAAACCACCCAAGCCTCCAGTCGGTCCAATAGACAAACCACCCAAGCCTCCAGTCGGTCCAATTGACAAACCTCCCAAGCCTCCAGTTGGTCCAATTGATAAACCACCAAAGCCTCCCGTCGGTCTAATTCACAAACCACCCAAGCCTCCGGTCGGTCCAATTGACAAACCTCCCAAGCCTCCAGTCGGTCCAATTGACAAACCTCCCAAGCCTCCAGTTGGTCCAATTGATAAACCACCCAAGCCTCCAGTCGGTCCAATTCACAAACCACCCAAGCCTCCGGTCGGTCCAATTGACAAACCTCCCAAGC